AGCATACATGGAAGGTGATTTGGAAATATCTAACACAATTTAAATGCACAAGAACTTTGACCTGTCAACTTATCTTAGAAATATATTTGCACATGTGTGAAATTATGTATAACCAAGGTTCTTTACGACAGTAATACTTATTTCTGTAATACCAAAAGATTACCAATAGTCTAAAAGTCAGTAGAGAATTATTAAAAGAAATCACAATACATCCATGCCATAGAATCCTATATAACAAAAGAATGAGAAAGCTCTTTGTGTAACTAACATAGTATTATGTCCAAAATATATTTTAAGTGATAAAAGATGAAAAGCCATGTAAAAAGATTATTACCATTTGTGTAAAGTGAGGGGATTTTATGTTTATTTGCTGGTAAATGTCAAAATATCTCTGGAAGAATTTTTTTAAAAATTGGTAAACCTGACCACTTTCAGGGGCTGGGATTGAGTGAATAAGGAAGCAGGGATGTCATAGACCCTTTCTACTGTGCATCATTTGTTGGTTTTAGTCTCAAATATCATCAGTAATTTGTAGCTCTCTTTAGTCTGTGTTGAAGGATTACTTTGTTTTATGTTCGCATTTTATCTGATTGTTATGGTTTGAAGTGTTCCAGGTGTCCACTGTTTCAAGGAAGCAGCAAGAAGAACTCATCCAACAGGACAGAACCCTGCTCAACTGCACACGATGGAATGGAAACCATCGCCTCCAGATGAAATGTTGTCAAACCTTGACGCAAAACTCTTTCCATTCAGGTAATTGATATAAAATCAGCTCCCACTGTGCAGATACAAATGTGTACACCAATTTAAAGAAAAAAAAAGGTGACACATTTTATTCTCTAAAATTGTAGTCAGGATTTTATAATAGGAGAGACATAATTTCGATCTGCTCTCCAGCTCAGTCTCTTTTATATATATCAACAGCATGTGGAAAATACTGAGGTTCCAAGAAATGCAGATAAGGAAAATATACAGTCAGATGTCAAAATGGAATGTGTAAGATTAGCAGGTAAGATTTTTTTAAAGAAACAACATTCCATGCTTTATCCCATCATGCAAATTTATAAGTGTATCTTTAATTATAGTTCCAAATTCCTCAATTTATTGAGTTTAGATATTGCTCTAGACTCAAATTTAGATAGCTCTTAGAGCAGAAAATTCATTTTGAAAATTAGGGTATTTACAAAAATTGTAACAAAGCAGGATTCAGCTCTTTTAAAAAATTCTAGTAAGTTATATAAGTTTTATCTTTTTTATACCTTATAAGCATTTATTTCTACCTATTAATAGGGTATCAAGTATTCTATTGTTACTGAATCAGCATTTGATAACACTCACACATATAATTTAGAGAATTAACTTCCCTGTAGTGGATAACATTTACGTAACTGTTAATGAGAGAGGTCAAAAACCTACCATAGCTTCTTCTAATTGAAATTTAGTCAAGTAAATGTTTAAAAAGACAGCAATGTTTTTAAATATAACAGACTATTACAAGCATGAGATATGGATACCTCTGAGCCATCAACCTTAAATCAGTGACAATATCCATTTTGGAGACCAACAAATCCACCGTGTTCTCTACCATCAACTGGCATTGTCAACACCACTTATGCTATAACTTTACCAATATTCAAGACGTTGATTAGAATGTATTTCAAGCAAAGGATATTGAAGAGCCTTGAGTAACTTGACATTTGGGCCTTGGAAACTGATAATGAATTATTTGTAACCCTTAGCAGAAGGTTTTTCTCAAGAAACTAGAGTTCTGGAAGTTTCTGTGTCTTTGCCTCTATAAAACTGTGCCAGAAACACTTGGTCAGATTTTTACTCTTTGTTTCTTCTTTTACACATTTAAACATCCCTCTTTTGTGAATACATTCTCTCTTAAGATAGGTTCTGTAAAACTGATTAAACATTATGGCTCACTTCTTAGTTACATCAACGCCTGAAAATAAACATATTGGTCAGTTGTGTTTTTCTTCAGTTTTCCTCACCCACATATTTTCAAATTGCTCCTTAAGGAATATTTTCATGTTTAACTCCCAGAATTTCAACATCAAATTGAGGCTTATTATTCTGCTCACCTAATGGCTCAGTTTCAGTACATTTCAATTAAATTGGTTCAGTAAGATTAACAGACATGAAACAATAAGCAAACAAAATGAAGACTATAAATGATGTAAAGTTAAAGAGAGGAAAGATTTATAAAAGTAGATTAATCTGACCAATTATTATAGAAGAGGAACAATTTAGGAAAAGATACTCCCCAATTAATTTTATCTTGAACTAATTCTTAGAGACCTATCACATTTGGGAAATAATTATATAAATCTTACCAAATTCAGCCTCCTTACCAAATTCAAATTCCTTTGAGCTGAAATTGGTAAGTACTGTATCACATGAACCATTCAGATAGAGTTCAGCTTTACTGAGAGAGATACAAGGGGGTCATTTGAGGGGATGTGCTACTAACATTTTACTAATAACTTTAATAAAATGTTTATATTCAAAGCCCATAAGCACGGCCCTTGCCCAGACAACTGGATTCAGAATGGAGAAAGTTGTTACCATGTCTTTGAAAACTGGAAAGTTTGGCACGCTAGTCAAGAGGCTTGTTTCGAGGAATGTTCTAAACTTCTACAAATAGACACCAAAGAAGAAATGGTAAACACTGTTTTATGGTTTCATATCATTCTGAAAATACCATATTATACGTTAAAAAAAGGACTGATTCTTATAAAATAGAGTTCCTTGATACTCCCTAACCATAGTATATTTATTGAAAAAGAAGAGTTGAACACAAAGTAGTAATTAACATGGTTTGTTTCCCTATGAATTGGAGAAACCAAAAAACGGGATGGCTATTTAGAAATTGAGGACAGTATGTTAATTCTGTGAACTTTGGTAATCAAAAAGGGGAAAGGACATTGCCATTTTGTGACATGCTAATCCACTCCAAGATATGCATACATTACAATTGCATGTGTTCTAAATTTATAATTTTCAATGCTGTAGGGAAGTATAATAACCTATTGTAATTTTGTAATTATCCAGGAAACATAGAAGTATAAACAGTGAGGTGACATCACAAAATGGAAAGTTCTCTGAAAATAAGCATTTGCCAAATAAAATGCTTAATTGGCATTAAACCTAGTTTACTAAAATCTTAATGAGCAAACAGTAAGATGTTCCCCTGAAATCATTTGACCTGTAAGTTGTGTGTGAAGTAGAATGCACGTTACACATTTCTGAATTTATTAAAAATGTATGCCTTCTATATTCAGTAATTAGTCAAAGTTCATTTTTATAAGAATAATAGAGAACAACTTGGTAAGGATATGCATGCAGTAAGCCAAGGCAAGCTGGACTCACCTATTATGATTACAGATTTGCACTAATTTTTCTGTACAAATTTAGTGACAACAGTTAGAAATATTTCTTCTAACAAAATAAGCGTACAGTTAAGTTGCTTCTGGAATCTTCTAAACTATTTCTCACTTTGAAGTATCCTGGGAAAGACATATACTATCTACCAAATTCTGAATCTGTTAAAACTATTTTCATGCCAGATATCTATTTTTTTCAATAACCCTTAACATCACATTGATCATTTAGCAACTGGGAAAAATAAGTATCCTTTCCTTTAACCTCCACCCCTTTCTCCAGCTCTCAAGTCCCAATTATTTCTGTGTAGGCAAAATACCACACTTTATATTTCATGGTAGTTTATTGGGCTTTTGTGTGTGTGTGTGTGTGTGTGTGTGTTTAGATTTTCTGGGATTCTTTTTCCTCTCATTCTCTCAGTTCGCTGCTCAGGTCTTATTATTTTTATAGGACTTTATCGCTGGCAGCCTGAGGAAGACCAAAAGCAACTATGATTACTGGGTGGGACTGTCTCAGGCTGGACCCAGCCAACCTTGGCTTTGGCAGGATGGCTCTCCTGCTCCTGACCTGTAAGTCTCTGAGGGAAACGGTCCAAGGGGAGTTAGACACATAAGGGAATTTAAAGGTTCATTTGATTTTATACCTTACATTTCCTCCAGGAGACAGAACCAGGGTGATAATTTTTCAGGCTTCTGATTGGAATCAAAGCCAAGATAATTTAAGAGTAGCTACAAGGCTTCTAAACCTCTCTGTCCCTGAACCTTCTCAGCCCCTCTGTCATTACGCTCCAGGACACTCACATCAAAATTGGAGAGTCTAAATGAACAATATTATGTAATCATGTAATCAGGTACATCCCCTTTGTACCATTTAATGGCTAGAGAGGGCCAAGGGCAAGTGATTATAGTAATCACTAAGCAATTTCCATATTAAGTTTTCAGAAAGAACTGGGGAGACTGGTCAATGGAATCAGGTGCTTTCACATTTTGAGAATTAAGAGTCAGAAAAGAGATTTGAAATTAGAGCCTATCTTTGTGTAACCAAACTTTTTTTTTAAAATATGCTGCTTGTTGAAATAATATTAACAGCTTTTATTGAGAGAAAATAGCTCTGTTTTTGAAGAAAGAGGACAAAACTATCGCAGGAGGGTGACAGATTAAAACAAAACAAAAAGCTGTACATCTCTCGTTCTGTTGCCCAAGAGAACATCCCCATAAGCCCCACACTTAACCTCAGATGCGCTGACTTCTTGCCTCTCCAGGTCGCCAGCACAGGGACCCCCATCAACTAACCGGGTGTGTGGATACCTCAAAGACAAAATCCTTTCTTCCGCCAACTGCAGCAGCTGGAAATATTTCATCTGTGAGAAGTATGCATTAAGATCTACCTGAAAGAAACTGAGCTTGAAGTCATCTCTCTATCATGATAGTATGTGCAACAGGTTGTTGGAAAACCTATCACAAAGAGCCCAAAAGCCAGCACACAAGTAAACCAGTCAGAGGGCTGTGAAACTCTCTACCTGTAACCCAAATCTGTCTAGCATTTACACTTGGCAATATTCCTCAATCCTTTCCAGACAGTCTTTTGATGTTGTTCAAAAAAATTGATAAGAATAAAATTGATTTAGAGCATTAGAGGATGAAACCTTAAAGAGCTGAGAACAAACTAAAGAAAAATTATTTCCATTGGTCATTTTTTGTCTTTCTCTCCTTCTATTTTTAACCTAGTGTGCGTTTAAACTCCGCAGAGAAATCTGTAAGTCAGTGGGGAGATGTGCAGTTTTAGCTGACTGATACTCTTTTTTAGTAAATAAAGAGACATGATCTTTTAAACTCACTGTTTGCCAGATCTTTCTATGCATTTGCTGGGCTCCCAGGCATTATGTTATCAGGCCAGTAGGATGGGAGGACAGAGATGTGGCTTTTTCATATTGGAAGGGATGGTAAGACAGTACCATTTTTAGGACTGCAGGGTTCTCCTGGAGAGAAGAGCCAACAGAACTACAGGTAAGTGGTGGGAAGAGTCAGGCTGCCAACATCAGGGTCTCCCCTCCATCTCACTGACCGTCCCCACTGCTCACCAATCAGACTCATGGCTTGAATTCTTAAGGTTGGCACACCAGCACTTTTTACTGCATCTCTCTGTGCCTCAGTCTCCTCATTGTAAAATAACAATAGAACTTACTTCAAGATGTTGTTTCAGGACTAAGCTGTGAATACATGTAAATTGCTGAGAACAGCCCTTGCACAGAGTTTAACACTCACCTTTATCATTTGGTGTAAATAACCAGCCATCCCAGGGCATCAACCTCATGTGCGCATTCCAGATAAAAATGTCCCCATTCCCTGCTCAGGCTATAGAAATATTGAGAGGATAAAGTGTATGGATAAATTGTCACCCACTGTCTGGAGAGGATGTC